GTTAATAACCTGCTATAGATTTGAAAGAGGGAGAGAGGTCTTTTCCCTTGTGTTGGTATTCTGTTAATTTGCATGGCAGCTACAGCAGAAAAATATCGTTATTACATTATATGGCTGTAAAGAGGGGAGAGAGCATTAGATTTTACACTTCCTGCATATCATGAGCGAGTTTTTGGTGATATATTCACTGTTAATTTTGGAAGCAAGTTGTACTTACTTTTTGGAATTAAGTTGGCGCTGGTTGGTCAGCTGTTGGCTGTAAAATGATTTTTTTTTTTAATGTTGTTTTAGGTGGCAGTTTAGCAGATGCCATAAGTGAAAATTACAGGAATATGTGTTATTTTACTGAACCAGAACTGAAGGACCTGCTACTTCAGGTGGCTCGAGGCTTAAAGTATATTCATTCAATGTCACTGGTACACATGGATATCAAACCTAGTAAGTTTGTAAACTGCTTTGCTCTCTGCTGACCATTTCCTCAGTTAATTTAATCTGCTGTAGAAACGTGAGCAGTTAGCCACACCTTACTAACTGTAAATTCTTCATTGAAGTTTTAAATAGCAGTACAGAGATGTCAGTTATAAAATTGGCTAGCTAACTTAAGCTGTTGTTGAGTTTATCTTGGGTTCTTTTTGTGTAATTGACTCTCCTTGCATAACGCTTGGCTCCCCTCCCAGCAGAGGGGCCAGAGTGATTAACTTAAGAGTTTCTCACTTGATGAACTGTGTATGTATACAACTAAAATTTCTGTGTGGCTAAAGAAAATGGTGATGAAAGTAGATGAAGTAGATGTTGGACAGAAATGGGTTTTAACAGTTCTGTTCTCTTTCAGGTAATATTTTTATATCTAGGACATCAGTCCCAACTATAGCTTTGGAAGAAGTTGATGATGATGACTGGTCATCTGATAGAGTCATATTTAAAATAGGTGAGAAGCAGCACGCTTGGGCTCAAAAGAATTGGCATTGGCATATTTGTCTTCTGGAAAATAACTTTCTCTTCTTCTTGCAGGTGACCTTGGTCATGTAACTCGAGTATCTAGTCCACAGGTGGAGGAAGGTGATAGCCGTTTTCTTGCAAATGAAGTCCTACAAGAGGTACCTGTTTTGTTTGTAGAAAATAGTGATGTTGGGTCCACGTGCTGTTGTGAGTAGTGGGTTGCTGTCTCCCTTCTTGCTGGAGGAGAGGCTTCGGAAATCTTAGAGGAATGTAATGTTATTGATGCGTTCAGTGCTGAGTAGCTTAGCTGTCTGTTATGTTTCTTCTTACACCGGTGGTATGTGTAATAAACTTAGTTTTCTTCATTTTTTTCAAGAACTACACTCATTTGCCGAAAGCAGATATTTTTGCTCTTGCTCTGACTGTTGTCTGTGCGGCTGGGGCTGAACCACTTCCAAGTAATGGGGACCAATGGCATGAAATTCGACAAGGAAAACTACCGAGAATACCACAAGTGCTTTCTCAAGAATTATTAGACTTACTAAAGGTAAGAATTCTTGTACTAGTGGCTCACTGTCTAGTGTAACTTACTGTATTATTGGCCTTAACTAGAACACCTTCTTTTCTTTTTTCCAAGGTTATGATTAATCCTGATCCAGAGAAAAGGCCTTCAGCTGTGGCACTAGTTAAACATTCAGTGCTTCTCTCTGCCGCAAGAAAGAGTGCAGAGCAGCTCCTCATAGAACTGAATGCTGAAAAATTAAAAAACGCGCTCTTGCAGAAGTAAGTAGTTCCTCGGTGTCCTTAGATATAACTTAATTTCTGATGGATTTTCAATGTGATAGGGGAGTGATGATAAAACAGGACTGTCCTTGTTTCTGCACAAATCTGTATGCGTGTACACACCTGAGCGTACAAAGCAGGTTATGCAACTTCAAAAGGAACTTTCTCCATAGAAGGAACTTCTTGAACGCTCTAAGGGAATCTCAACTACACTATTAGTATTCAAAGCATACAAAACATGAGTTTAAAGGAAATCTTTCAAGCATAATGCATACTTTTGTGGCATGTATAGTGTAACTTATATCTATATTATTTGAGTCTGTATTTTCTTAGGTCATCTGTACACTGAAACGTGTTGGATAACGTGACATGAACAAGCTGTTTTGAACTTAAATTAAATGGCACGTCAGGAGTGTTTTTAGACTAATTTGACCTGTAAACAGCAGTGTTATTAGGTTACCAGAGAATCATTTGTATCGGGAGGTCATCTTGTCCTACCCCTTGCTCAAACACTCAACTCTGAATTAAAGCCTTGATGAAGAGATTCCCCTTAGGAAAGTCAGGTTTCTGCTGAAGTTTCAGAGAAAGACTAAGTTAAGAAGCAATCATCTGAATCTTCCACTGCATTAACTTCACACATATTATGCATAATAGGCAGGCTTTTGTGAGGGAAATCTAGGACACCAATTACTTTGACTGGCTTGTTTTGAATGAAGATGTTAACTGCGTTTGGATTCTCTCCATTGCTCTCTGCTCATCTTGCCGTTGCTACAGTCTGAATGTACCAGACTTGCCATTTTAGATGGTTATCTTTATAATCTTAGGATTTGCACTGACTGCAGGAGGAATAATTTGACAGTTTGTGCAGGTTATTCAGGGACAGATTTGCTGAGGTAACTTGCTTGTATAAAGGCAACATATTTTTGTATCATGTGAAAGGGGAAGTTGGCAAAGCTAGTATTTTGTGAAAACTCTTCTGGCCTGGCAACAAGTAGGGTGCATCCTTGAATCTGTATAACTAAATCCAAGAAATAGTTTCAAACAACACTTAGGTACAATAATTTTAAACATTGTGTGGGATAGTGTTCCATAAAATGGTTCAGGTAGGAACTTTTTGGTTTGGGGATTTTTTTTAACACTCCTGCGTTTGACCTATTTAAGATAGCACTTGTGTATATAAGTTCTCATTGGTGAAAGAAGTCCTTGTAATGAAACTCCGCTTTTCTACTGTGTTGTCGTCTTCTGAGAAGAATGAAGTATGTTGTAAAGCTTAATTTCCTGGTACTGGTGTGGTGGGTGGGTGTGCACATGTAGGTAGATTTGTGACGGATGTTCTGTCTTCGGAGATTTGATTGCAGTTTCTTTCACATAGTGATAATGTGGGGAGGATTAGTTGGGGCATGGGTACGGGTGTTAATGAGTAATACGTTTGCTTACAAGAATGGAAGTAGCTTATTAAATGTAATTAAAGCTAAATACACCTACACCAATAGGCAGCAAGCTTGTAAAATTTGATCCAGATGTGAAGTGAGATTACAAATACTAGTCCTTACAGTAGAGAAAATCCTTTGAGCGATAGTTTAGGACAGGAGAAGGATAAGAGTATGGGGAGAATCCTTACACTTTGTTGTACGTCAGCATTTAAGGAAAGGAGAAAAGGGGTGTGTGGGGAAGCCCTCGATAAAGATAACTTGGCTCTTACTTAGTCAGACTGTTTCGTAGTTTTATCCTGAATTTTAACTTCATCCTCAGGCTGAATATTGGTAATTCTCTGAAACAGAATGCTTGACAGAACGTTGCACAGGGACAATGGCCTGTGCTATCTTCAGTGCCTCAGCCTTGCAGTTTTGGGCTCAAATTTTTGTTAGGCCATAAAAGACTTAGGTGGGTATGCAAAAGGAAAAGGATGCTTCCCGAGTGGTCTGTTGCCAGTTACGTTCGTGAGTGTTCATATAAGTGTGTGTCTGTTTGAATCTTCCACAGAAGTTCACTCGTGGCTGAACACTTCATTTGGGTGAACCTCAGTAACTGGCTCTTCAGTGATTTATCATACAGCTTGTACTAGAAAGTCCACAGCATCCTACTGTGTTCTGGTAATTGAAGTGTTGAGCTCCTAAAAGCCCGGACTTCAAAATCTGAGTTGTGTGAATCTGTCATCTCTTTCCCATGTTCAAAAGAAAAAACATGTAGACAAGTAACAAACAACCCGTTTCTGTCCTCTGGGTTGTAAACAGATGGGTGTGAACGATAATGGTGTTAGTATGACCGTACTCAGTGGCAAGTCCTAAGTTCTGAACTGCTGTAACTCATGTGAAACACTCGCTGCGATACACCTGTAGTCCTTGTTGATAGCCCTGGGTAAGTGTCTCTCTCCATGTCTTGCAGAGAGCTGAAGAAGGCGCAGATGGCAAAGGCTGCAGCCGAGGAGCGAGCACTGATCGCTGCCAGAATGACAACTAGATCTACAGCACAAAGTAGAACATCTCGACTCATCGGAAAGAAAATGCACCGCTCATTTAGTCTTACTATATACTAACTGTGAAGTCTAAAGAACTGCTGAGGATGGCTGTAGCATCTCTGCCGGGCTGAAGTCTAAGGAATTGAAGGAAATGTTCAATCCCTGGTTTCTTGTCCTGTCTTTGATCAGTATCACTAGTTTTACAGGAATTGTTCCTGGGTTTATACTTGTAAAATACAGCTGATTAGCTGTATTAAATGTTTGAGTTACTGGACTCAGTTACTGTCTTGTCCATAGAGGATCCTGGATGTTAATCCGTAAGCCTTTCAGTTACACTGATAGATGTTAACATTCTCCCAGGGTTAACCACTATAGTGGTGTGCTGCTTTGTAGTGTTACAGCATTGTAATGAGAAGTAATATACCTAATGATCTTTAAGAGGAGGGAGGGAGGGAAGGGGCCTTACTTTGATAGTTACTGATTTTTTTTTTTTTTTTTTTTTCCTTTTTGGGGCAGAGGGGAATAATTTTGAAAAACAGGCTTTAAGGCCACCTACACTCAATGTACCTGAAGTCAGGTAGACTTTTATTGTGAATTTTATTTGTATATTCAACTGGGAGCACTTTGTAGGCATTGTATAAACCACAGCTTAGAAACCTGTGGAATTAAGTGCCATATGGAACTGCTGCTATTTTTAGTTTGTTGTCCTTGCTGTAAACTGTAGCATTAAAACAATCATTATTGTGTTAATAGGCTTCTTGTTAAAACAATTACATGAAACAAATCTGAGCTGCATTTTAGTGAAGGCAGCATTTTTCTCTCAAAGCTAGTGCATTGTGAAATGATGCACCAATTTAATATCTGGGTTCTGTATTAGTGTAGTGCAATTGTTAATATGTTTGCTATTGATGTTTGTTATTCTTTTTAAAAAGGTTCTCTAAATGTTGCTATTCTCTTCACTTGTCCGTTCTTGAGACTATTGATATTTCTTGTTATGTTGGAGTACTTGTAAATAATTGTTTTAGTGTAACTGTTCAGGTTGTTCTTCATTGTTTCTGTACATAATTTGATCGTCCTTGTAATATACCATATTGACACCGCAGTCTGAGTTGCCAACAGACAAAGCTTAACGATTCAGTTTTAAGTTCCCAAATGAACACAATGTGGCTGTCAGAACCTGTACTAAGGTTGGACCTAGGCTGACCGATGTTGCTGAAAAACAGGACTGTTGTAGTTACTGGTTTGCCTCTTCATTAATTTTAGTTTAAGCAATGTTTCCCATTTTGTTCTGTTCTTACTAGTGTTGAATTTGAATATTAAAAGTTTTGTTTAATATTGTCTAACACTTATTCAGCTTTAACTGTGGAAGTAAAATACTGAGTCAGGAATGTACTGTGGCAAGTCCAAGATTAGATCTGCTCCTGCGTAATGCTTGTGGTTCCCTCTCGTGAGAGCGGGACTGAGACACTGTACTCACTGATGGTTGTTAGAGACAGACCGCAGTGCTTCTCTCCTGCGTCGTCAGAGGTGGTACTGCATGGTGGGAAGACGAAGGCCCTGGAAGATTTGAAGTGGAACCCGTGGCTGAAGATGGAGAACTGGGTGAAACTGTGTGAAGAAAGACCTGGGTCTGAGGTAAGAGGAAGAACTCATGAACTGCTGAGAATGGGAAGAGAAATGCTTGTTTAGAAGTGGGGAAGAAAACAGTGTGAGGAACTGGAATAGTCTAGGGAACGTAATAGCGTGTTCTGTGGCATGATGCAAAATACTTAGGCATTTGTGCTCTGCCTCCCATAATAAAGGCTTAATAGATGAGTCTGTTGGGGAAGCTTTTACATTGTTGTATGGAAGAGTCACCGGTGACTGTCAGAAGCTGTGTGGGAATTGGATGGACTATTGTAAAATTTAACTTTGCAGTTAGCTAATGAAAGCTGTGCAGTATTTTTATTTGTAAGAGCTCTCAGTGCTGGTTGTACAGGACAGTGAAATTCAGAGGCTTGGTCTGGGTAACTATTTTCTGAACGTCCAGTTCTTCAGCTGGTAGACTGGAATACCTCTAAGTTTTTTTACTTTGTACGATAGCCCTGTCTTGTTAGTGAGAGGAGTTAGAATATGTCGTGTAGTTCTGTTGCAGCATTTTAACATTCACCTGTGCTAAATGAGACCTCTCTTAAAGCGTGCTTGTAACAGTCACAGACGTCAATTAGTGGGGGATCAACAAACTTAATAAGCCTTTATTCCCCCTAGAGTGTAAGCAAATTTGATCTACCTGTGATAATCACGGGCTCTTGCATGGCTCATTTTGAGAGGCCTGTAACATCAGTGCAGGTATTGCTGTGCCCACAGCCCGCACACCGCAGTAGCTGTGTAGGCTTGCGGAGGTGTGCTCCTTGCAGGGTAAGAAACTGGCTGGATGGTGAAGTCCTGAGATGTGGTGAGATAATCCAGTTGGCAGCCGGTCACAAGACAGGCCACCCTCAGTAAGCTTGCAGACCACACGAAGTTGGGAGGAAGGCTCTGCAGAGGGATCTGGACAGGCTGGATCCATGGGCTGAGGCCACTGTAGGAGGTACAAGAAGGCCGAGTGCCGGGTCCTGCACTTGGGTCACAACAACCCCCTGCAGCGCTACAGGCCTGGGGACGAGTGGCTGGAAAGCTGCCCAGCGGAAAAGGCCCTGGAGGTGTTGGTTGACAGTGGCTGAATATGAGCCAGCAGTGTGCCCAGGTGGCCAAGAAAGCCAATGGCATCCTGGCCTGCATCAGGAACAGTGTAACCAGCAGGAGCAGGGAAGTGATTGTCCCCCTGTACTGGGCACTGATGAGGCCGCACCTTGAATCCTGTGTTCAGTTTTGGGCCCCTCACTGCAAGAAAGACACTGAGGTGCTGAAGTGTGTCCAGAGAAGGGCAACGGAGCTGGTGAAGGGTCTGGAGCACAAGTCCTGTGAGGAGCAGCTGATGGAACTGGGAGAGACCTTATCCCTCTCTACAGCTGCCTGACAGGAGGGTGCAGAGAGGTGGGGGTTGGTCTCTTCTCCCAAGTGATAAGTGATATGACAAGGGGAAATGGCCTCAGGTTGCACCAGGGGAGGTTTAGATTGGGTATTAGGGAAAATTCCTTCACTGAAAGGGCATTTGGGCAAAACCTGTACGTAGTCAAGCAAGCCATCTTTTCAGGTGGAAGAAGCTACTAGCTTCTTGCAAAATGTAGAGTCAGATGTCAGTTAAGGAAATTCTACCAAGCATGGTATAATAAGATGAGCTTCAGCATGTTAAGAAGAAAGTTTTATCTCAATTTAACAAGATTTAATTAGAGTTGGGTGGCAAATGCGTTATTCAAAATAGTTACATTTAATGTTTAACTGTTTTTCTCATGAATTCATCTAGCTTGATTTTTTTCCAACACAGAGGTGGCATAGTACCTGAACTTTTTTCACCAGAGTACCTGACTTGTTGAGGAACTACATAGAAAGAGAATCTAAAAATAACTGAAAGCAGGTATTCCATGTCCCCAACTCCTCTAGGTCTTTGCCTGCTGCTTTGCTTTCTGTCTTGGAACATAAATCCATCTTGTAATGATACGTTAGGACAGCACTCCCTGTCTAGTCGTGCTGCATCTTACGCCCTAGGTGGGCAGCGTGGTGGTCTCAAGCTCTTACAGAATTAGTTTCCTCTACAGACATGACACCACTTACCTCTGGCAAATGCTGCTTTCCAAAAGAATATTCTGCAATTGTCCCATCTAAATGATTTATTTGTGGATGAATGGTCTTCTACTTGACTGTACAAAACTAGTTCTCACTGGAAACAAAGTATTAAACATCACCACCCCACCTTCTAAATGTGAATTTTGAGTATCCAAGATCGATTCACTTCTTTATAATTCATCTTGTGAATGAAACCTCTCCATGGACTACCTGCGGAAATACTGATGGTCCTTAGTTTCTCATTGTTTTTCAGGATAAACCATTATAATCAAAGCATAAATGCTATATTTTTTAAAAAATATTTTGAGTCACATATTCTAGATGGAGGATTTCTAGATGGATTTCTGGCTGGATTTCTATTTATGCCATTACTGTCAAAATTGGTTTTACTGGGCGTACTGCTGGTCCATTACAGCCGTGAAGGTCAACGGATGGACGAGGAGTATGTTTGTGAAGAGGAGTTGGCACCTTCCAGTTGGAAACTGTGGTGTGGCTAAGAAATTGTTCTACTTTCTTCTGCCTTCAAAGACTGCATCTCAAACTCCCAGCAGTTTCTGCCCTGAATTCACACAGCAATAACAAGCTAGAATTGCTAAGGTCCTCTTGGTCTCTGTTTTGGTTTTGTTAAGCTGTTGATACACAGCATTTCTCTAGTGGGGATTTTTGTTGGTTGGTTGGGGGTTTTGTCATGTTTTGTTTTGGTGGTGTTTGTTTTTTAAATTTCTCAGTGGTGGTGTGTTGTGGGTTTTTTAGTTTCCAAGTGTTATAGAATGGTTTAGGTTGGAAAGGACCTTTAAAGGCCATCTAGTCCAACCCCCCTGCCACGAGCAGGTTGTCAGAGCCTTGTCCTACTGGCTCACTGATTCCCTGCTCCCCCCACCCCCCCAGATACAGGCTGTTGATTACCACAGACCTAATAATATGTTTTATTTCATCTGGGATGGATCTGAATCAGTGAGATGTAGAACCTGGAAAACTTCCTACTTGTTTGGTTTGGTGGGTTTTGGTTGTTTTTTTTTTTGAAGACATTGTAGGCAAGCTTTATCCCCACCTAGAAATGGAGGTAGGCACTGCTTGGATATTTGAAAATAGGGTTTCAATTTCATGGATTGCATTACTTCAGACTATAATATTTAAGTTTTGTGAATGAAAGTATACGTAGTCACCCTATCCTGGTGGAACTAGCGGAAAAAGAAAAAGTGTCATGCATTGTTTGACCCCCCCCAACCAAAAGCTGCCCCGCTTGACCTTGTGTGCACCGTGTTTTGTAGTCTCCAGCAGCACCTGCTGGACAGACAGACAACCGTACACTAAATGTTTGTGTGCAGTGTGACACGATGTTAGGAATCATCTTGTTCTGCAGTAGCGATGGACCGTTTGGGCCAGCAGTAGCTCAGGTAAGCGTTGACTTTTTTCATCCTTTACATCCCCACCCACCCCCTCGGCTCTGTAGGCTTGGAAGAGGCATGCTCAGGATTTCAGCGTGTATGTGACTTGGTGCATAACG